TGATGGACTTTAAACTTTTTGGGTTTGGACCATTTTGATGGTAAACAAACAGCTTCGGTGACTGTTTTTGGGCCAGTCCACTTGGGAGGTGAGGGGAGCTCCAGTCATCCTACAAGCTTTCGGCAGCGGATTTGAGGCCATTGTTAGTCATCGCAGAAAACGGTTCGCCTTTGGTTTCTGCCCCCTTTACTGAGAATGGCACATGGGTATGTGTCGAACTGGGGACCTCAAAAGCAGATTTGGGTTCTGCTTTTAGTTTCCCTTTAAGGTACATCCAGATGGAGGTTACTCTTCATTGACCCACTAGGTTGGTCGTTGCTTTCCCAAAGCCATCAAATGGTTCCCTAATACAACAAACAGCCAATGGTGCCCTTGTTTTCCTATTTGTTGGAGGTGGTATTTTTGAAAGGAGCTACACAAAAACAGTGACCTTTTTTGGCATGGCGATCAGGGGTCTGGGCAAGTGAGGGTATATAACCATGGTTCTGGTGCAAATTCGCTCCGACTCGAGCTCACCAATTCTGGGCCCAATTTCCGGCTTGTGATTATAGCGGATAAGCTCTAATTTGTGGTTTGGATCGGTGGTTTTGGGGGGTTTGAACCCATATATTTGTAGAGAATAAATTGGAAACCATGTCTAGCCTACAAACCACTCATTTAAACCACCAGTTAGAGGGAAGCTGATGTTTGTAATTTGTTTTGAAAGCGACCCACTTCAAAAGGAACAAAACGCTGGTCGTGGTTGACAGTGGTTGAACATCGAATCGAACCCTTCCTTTTTGAGCCACCAGACAACGTCTGGATAGCAAAGTGGTTTTACCTGAATCAGGGATGCAATATGGACCCCCGTGCCTCCTTGATAGAGGGTAAATGGGAAACCGCTCCTTAACCCATGGTTGGTGTTGGGAAACATTTTTCATTTTGGCTTATTGCGGTTTAGTGGTTGAATTCCAACCACTTAACTGCTACAATTTACATTCTTGCTCCCCTTCCAACGTCAGCCAACCCCCGACTCCAAATACCCACCTTTTTTTTAGGGTATCACGTCGACCCTCTACTAGAAAAGGAGGTGTTTTTCTTGAACAATTATAGGTTTTCCAAGAAATACCCTACAAAAAAAAGGTATTCGGAGTAGGGGGAAGAACCAATCCAAACCACCAATTAGAGGGAAGCTGATCGTTGAGGCAGGATGTGGTGATCCTGCCATGGTGGACGCTTGCGCTTGGCGAATCCATGAACCAGCCACATCAAGCCGCGCTCGCCTCCATCTACAGCTCTGCTGGTGGGCTTTTCCAGCTCACTGCACTGCTTTCGGATACTTGTACGTCACTGTCCTTGGATCAAGTTGTGTTTGGCTTTTGCTTGTTTTGCTTTCGGTTCTGTTCATGTTTAGGTTTAGGGCCCTCAAACAGCCAAGCTTTTTGCAACCATACCAAGGGTTGCAATGTTTTGCTTGTGCTTTTGCATGTTTTTGCAGTTGTGATGAATTTCGACCTGACACGGTTGCTCACAATCAGTGCTTAATCCCTATGCCCGATTAGATAGCAAGTTGTATCCCCACCACGGATTACGGATCAGGCTTAGGAACCCCCCTTACTTCTGAGCAACCCGGCGGTGTGTGTGTGTGTGTGTCTTTGTTTGTTTGTTTGCTTGCTTGCTTGTTTGTTTGCTTGCTTGCTTGTTTGCTTGTTTGTTTGTTTGTTTGTTTGTTTGTTTGTTTGCTTGCTTGCTTGCTTGTTTGCTTGCTTGTTTGTTTGTTTGTTTGTTTGTTTGTTTGTTTGTTTGTTTGTTTGTTTCTGTGTGCGTGTTTGTGTGTTATGTCAAACCAAATCCCCAGTCTTTCTTTGTATTTTGTCCAGGTTCCAAAAGATGATCACCACCAGCACCCCCCCAACCGCTGCTTTTTGGACAGTACTTTGACATGGAGACAACAGGCAAGTTGGGGGGGGGGTGCTGGCAATCCCGCTCGGTCCCCCAATAGTGCCCTTTTACACTTTTTTGGGGGAGGGTTCCCCTACTAACATAAACTACAGGCTAGGGCCCTTATTTCAAAGGACAGACATTGGGCTAGGTTCCCAATTCTCTGCTTGCGAGGACCGGCTGCCTGCCATCGTCACGTGCTTGGTCCCCGCGGCGTACTGCATCTCAGCTGCCGCCGTCAAAGTGCTGCAGCTAGCTGCGCATCGAGGTGTTGACAAAGGCGAGGTGCTGAAGGGCGTGTGTACCCCCCCGCCAAACAAATATATTGGCGGCTCCCAGCCATCCGGTTCAACTTAGCTTTTTAGATCCTTTTAGTGTTTAGTGGTAGTTTCCGAATTTAACTCACTAAAAGTCAAACTTGTAGCGGGGGATCAGAAAACGGGCAGCCCGGAGAAAAAAAAAAGAGAGAGAGAAAGCACGGGCGGTGTTCCGTTTCCACAATTCGGGGCACGCCGAAAGAGGCCCCAAGTGCCCTCGGGCGGGGGGGCCCTTTGGGCCCCTTCGAGACATCGCCAACTCGGGTTGCCACTTCAAAGCTTCCTTTCGTTGGGTTGCGGGGAATTTCAGGAGCCCTGCCCCCTCCAAATACCCGGCCTTTTTTCAGGGTATCATGTAAACCCTCTACTAAAAAAGGAGGTATTTACCAGGGAAAGCCTGGTTTTCCAAAAAAATACCCTTAAACAAGTGGGTATTTGGAGTAGGGGGTGTACCCCAACTCATCTTTTGCAAGCACGAAGTCAACCACCCTGTACCTTCTATTTGCTGAAATGAAGATGTTTTTAAGTCCCCCTGATGGCTTTAAAGGGAATCAATTTCACTACTGGCCGAATGTTTTTTTGTTTTTTTCCACGGGACGAGAAGCAAACGGAAGGTACCAAGATGTTTGTGGCGACTTCTTAGGTCTGTGATGCCAGAAAACCCCCCTCTCATGTGAAACTAGTCATCCATTTTGGCATCGCAGAGAAGGCACTGTTTGATTGAGTTCGGCATCTACTGTTCTCACCGAAAATGAACATTTTGAGTTCAAAGAATTGCTTTTGGTGGTGGTCTCCCTTTCAACTTGCATCGATAGCGTTTTTTTTGGATGTCACTTTGGACCCAGACACAGGGCTTTTTTTTCCTGCAGAGGACTACAGATGAGCAGCTTTCTGCTGGTCTTCTACATGACGTCCAGCATGAACCTTCCCCAGAATTGGCTCCCCTTCTTGTTTTTGGTTTTTGGCTTTTTTGGGGTCCCTTTGTTTTCCACTCACCAAGCATTTGTGTTTTTTGCTGGGGTCCTAGTTCCAGCCCAGGACCATGGAGGTCTTGGGGGTGTCGCATCGGGTCAGCGAGGGCCAGATGATCGCGGAATATGCCGCGGTGGACCTGCTGTGCAAGGCAAGGGACCCGGGACCCCAGTCCTTTTGCTTACCTCTTAAAAGCACAACTTTTCAACTTGTTGGGTAACATGGGCTATATGTCTGTAAAAGATTAACTTCCCCAGGGCTTGGAGTTTTAAGGGGTAAGTTTGGGCCCCCAAGGTACTGGAGGGCGTTTTTTTTGCAACTCAGGTGAGCCCACAGGGGTTCTTTTGGGCCCAAAAGGAGGTTTCCCCCTACCAGAGGGATTTGTTTTTGGCCGCTCAGGTGAATCTGTAGGCCCTGAATGGCACAAAAGCTCAAGGCGAATCGACCTTTACTGACCCCTTCCGTAGTTTTCCTTTTGGGTTCCCACTGTCCGTCAAGGTTCCAAAAGTTTGACCTTGTATTTCTGCATTTACCCTTTTTTGGGGGATGTTTCCCCTACTAAAATAGACTACAGAAAAAAGTTGGTACCCTTATTCTAACCTCTCTACTGGAGGACCTAGTCTTGATCCTGAACGTGGTAGCTGAGAAACCCATTGCTCTTTCGTCCCCAAAGACCTTTCGGCTCTTGGGGCTTTCACTTGGTTTGCCTTGGTTTGGAGGGTTCCAGTCCCTCAAGATCCATGCATCAAGAGCCCTGCATGTTGGCATCGTCCGGTCAAGCTTCGATTTTGGGGCTTTTGAGTTGGGTTGGTGGTTGCGTTTCCGAATTTACGCCAGAAGTTAGACTTGTTGTTGGCGTGTCTTTAGCTTGTGTTTGTGTGGTTCTGCTCATGTTTGCTATGGGCGGCAAAAAAAAAGGCAGGTTTTTGCAAGCCCATAATATTTGGAAAGTCCTGGTTTGCCAGTTCCTTCCCACCACTGTCATTCTCTCGTCCCGGTGGGGTGAGGGAGCCCTAAGCAAAAGGGGAACCATCGTTTTGGGTAGGGGGCGTCCCTGACAAAGAAAAACACACAAATGGCTATGGGTCAAAATGAAACCAGGAGATGGACCGCAGATGTGAATGTGTCCATTTGCCAGACCAACCCATTTTGGGGTTACCCTATGTTTATGACCCACAGCCATATGGCCATGGGTCAAAATCCCGTACCCCCAGTGAACATCCCAATCCCCACTAAAATAGGTTCTAAAATGGGTGGTGCACCTACCCCAAAATGGTACCATTGGTTTTGACCCACAGCCAGTAGTGCCCTTTTACCCTTTTTTTGGGGAGGGTTTTCCTACTAAAATAGACTACAGACAAAAAATCGGGTACCCTTTGTTTCACCTGCAAAACTGGAGGATCTAGTCTGTGTGCTGGCGAACACCAAAATCAATAACAAATGGATGTTCATCCCCAAAATGGCTCGCCATAGGTTATGCAACCCATCCCAGAGAGTCCAAAGGCCGTTTCGTTGGCCGGTTAAACACGGGTTGGTTGTTTACGTTGCCTTTTTACGGGCTGTTTACGTCCTTTTTACGGGGTGTTGACAAAGGGCCGTTGACTTAAAAGGCCTAAGTTACGGCCCTTCGGAAGCTCTGGGTGGTGTTTGTTTTTGGTTGGTCTTTGTTTTCATATCTCCAGGTGGGGGCTCAGTCCATGGATCCGAAGCTCTTCTTTGGGCACGTGGTTTTGCTCAGCTCTCTCAGTTAGTTCAGTGGCACCGAGTCCAATTCTTTTTCCAACTTTTTCTTTGGGTGGCTGCCCCAAAAATGGCCCAAGCCCCAAAAAGGGTTCCAATTATTTTTTTCAGGGTCACTGAACAACTGAGACCCGGTTCCTTAGTTGTTTTCTTTTTAGCCCACGAAAAGTTATCCACTTGTTGCGGGGGATCTGAGGGCAGCCTAGGGTGTAAAAGGGTTCCATGTTAATTTACGGAGTGCCCTACCACCAATCAACATGGAACCTTTCAGGGGCCCGGTTCTTTCTTCAGGATTCTTTCCCAGGACCCCCGAACATCAGGTTTCATGTTACTTTGCAGATCTGACTGAGCATGTGTTCACCGGTGAAGATCATCCTTTGCTGTTCTTGGATCAAATCTATTTTGTTTTGGTGTTCAGTTTCAGGTTCGGCTGCAAAAAGCGGCCTGTTTGTTGCAAGCCCAGAAGGGTTGTGACTGGCGCAGGTCCCGAGCTGTCATATCTTTACCCGCTCCCTTGCTGGCACGAGTCAGCTCGACGAGCAGATTGAAGAAGAGGAAGACGACTTCCGTCGAATCCGTTTGGGCCCATCTTCCTTTTCTGCCGACTGAACACGCTATCTCAGCTGTTTTGAGGTGTTTGGAGACTCCTGAACCCAGGGGAAACCAATCAGATACTCGTCCAATCCAATCCGCACAGCGCAGTACCACCCCCACAACTCAGCGCAGCCCTGCGAGAGCTGGCAGCACTGTGGGCATACGAGGTGCAAGCTTGCACCTCGACGCTTTGCCACCGTACGTCTGACTCAAAACAACACAACGAGAGGAAGACAACAAAGACACAAAGAAGCAAACAGAGGCAGAGAAGCAGAGACACAACGATAAAGCAGACAGAGAAGGAAATTTGGAACAAGGACACAATAGACAGAAACGAATAAGCAAGCAGATAGGGCACAACACACAAAGAAACAAGCACTCCAGAAGCAGAGCAACCAGGGCGCAAAGAGAAACACCTATATAAAAGCAGAAATGCCAGGAAGCAAAGTTGTCAATATGTTGCTTTCTCCGTTTACTTTGTATTTGTGTGCATGAACTCCCCCAAAAAGCTTTGCTTAACACTTTACATGATATGCACCAAAATATCAATATAGAATTATATACATATACAGACATAACCAAATACAGAAATATAAAGTTTCTTGTACAGATTGTACATAATTACACACCCAAATCAAAAACACTGAAGCCCAACATTATGTGAACTCGAAATCTAAGGCCATTAATGGGTGGGCAGTTACTCATCCTTCAACATGTGCACTTCCACAAATCTAATTCTTGCTCTTTGGTATTTTCCATATTTTGGCATTGACATGTTTGAGTATTCCATTTGGAGCTATGTAAAAGTATCAGCAAGAACATAAAATAGCTTTTCTCATATACGAATACATGATTCATCATGACTCTCTCTATATATATATATAAAAATGTACGTCTGAGTTTCTGTATTAAGTAGTTGGCTCCTTGCGCCTTTGCTGCTCGATTTCCGTCTTTCGCTGTGGTTTCTCTGTCCCCGCGCCAGCCTAGGCGAACCCCACCCCTAGGTTCCCGCCGTGCCCTGCTGTCTCAGCGACCTCGGTCTCCCAGCGAAAGGGTGCCCGACCTCTCACCTTTCTTTTTTGGTTCGAGGGTTCCCCCACTAAAATTCTGACGACAGAAAAACAATTATCGGGTACCCATATTCTAACCTCGCTACTGGAGAACCTAGTATTTGTTTGGTGCGATCCAAAATTATTGTAACCTCTGAAACTGGAGGACCTAGCCACCAGTGTGCCCAGACTTTTTCCCCGACGCTCTCTCAGAGTTTTCCCCGGCCCACTCTCGCGGCGCGCGACGGACCCGATTCAGATCGAACGTGGCGCCCGTCGCCGGCCGGAGAAGAAGTGCCAAGACTACTTCTCCTCTTCGAATATTTTTCTCACAGAAACCTGGAGTCTCCCTAAGGATCCTTAAAAAATGGTTGGTCATTACCCAAAATCATGGGGTCATGGACCCATTTTTAGAGGGTCGTGGAGACTCCAGGTTTCCGTTTTTCCCGCCTCAACACTCTATCTCGTGAAACCTCAGGTTTTTGCGCGCGCGGCTGAGATAGAGCGTTGCCTCTAAGCGAGAGCGATCGCGCTGTTGTCCCGTCCGCCGGCGTCCAAGACCAAAAAACAACTCCCTCACTCCCTCCAGGCTTCCGATTTGATTTGCAAAGTGAGTGCATGAGCAGTGGGCCTAGGACTGTGTTCGAACGGTGCGGTGGGATACTACATTCGCAACGCTCAAGATCATGACACGTATGTTTTGCAGCTAGTCAGATGTTCCTACATGTTGATACTTCCAAACAAATGCAATCTATAGTGCTTTGCTATTGCGTTGGCAAGTTTGGGTATTTCGGTTGAATTATGTATAAGTAGCAACAACTACATATATTTGCTAATATACAGTTTATAACTAAATACGAGTCTGGATGTCTGTATTAACTCGTGTGTTGTTGTGTCTTTGTTTTTTTGTAATGTATGTCTTGTTTGTTTTGTTTCTTTGTGTTGTTGCGCCTTTGATTATTTGCTTCTTTGGAGTTTCTGTTTTATGGTTTCTGTGTTTCTTCTTTGTCGCAAACACACTCATATTTAAGCATGTTAGGATATGTTAATAGCTTGCATTTTGTGCGAAACATCTTACAGGTGTGCACACACATGTACATGTATTGGTTTCTTTGCTGCTGTGTTTCTTTTCTGGAGCTATAAATTCTACCCCCCGCTCCAAATACCTGCTTTTTCTTTCAGGGTATCATGTCGACCCTCTACTCAAAAAGGGATCGGTATGTACCATGGAAAAACCGATCGGTTTTCCCAAAAATACCAACTAGAAAAAGCGGGTATTTGGAGGTTACGGGGGTCTTTGTTAAACCTTGCGTACGAAATTGCCCCGTGACAAGAAAAAAACAACTCACGCTCAAGCCAGGCTGTGCCTTTTTGCAGCCATTACACACCATGCAAGACCCATCCCAACATGAGCCACGTGCTCAAAACCTGGGTAGATGAAGGTTAGTAAGGGACGATCCCAACCATAAATAGCTGCGGCCGCCTTCTTACTGTAATTCTTTACGTGGTTCTGGGTCGACCATTCTTGTACCAGGTTTTGATTGCGACTCATGTGCTGACTGAGAAACTGAGCCATTTCATCCCACAAAGCCATCGCTTCAGAGCCCAAAGTTGCTGAGATAGTGCGCGCCGGTCGCAAGTTGGAAAAGATGTGTTCAAAAGGATTCGATTCTGCCCGGCAAGTTTATACTTAGCAGAAGGAACCAACACAAGCTGGGGCTGGACATCAAAAGGAAATCGCTTTGAAAGGTATTTTTGTGCGGGTGCCATGTTAGTTTGCTGCATGACGTCAAACCAAGCCCTAAACCCATATCCAAGCTTTTTCACTTGGACCTGGCAAGAGGTGCCTGCGCACCCAAAAGCGCCAAAGGGGCCGCGCTTTTTGGCTTCGCTTTGGGTGTGGCGAAAAGGAAGCGCGGCGTGCAGGGTTGAGCTAATAGGGGCTAAATACTCCCAGCCTGCAGGACCCATTGATACACAAATGTTTGCTCGAGCTTTCGTGGCAAATAAGTGCCGAGTGATGGCAAATGCAAACTCATGCAAACACACGGAGTGCGTTTTCCCTGGAGCACTTCACCAAAGCAGCTAGGCAACCTCAAGAAGTACTCGAATTGGATTTGAGCAGAAAGAAAGTGCTCAAATGCCAAAAACTGTCCGGAGCACTTTGTTGTGTATCAAAGGGTTCTCCAGGAGTGGATCCCAGTTACCCCTACAGTAGGTAGATAACCAGCTATGTTTCTTGCAAGGGTGGGAAAACCTCAAGTAAATGGATCCTATGTTATCTGGCTGAGCACCCCACTCATCTGACTTGAGCCCTGTCGTCTTTGCTTCCGAAGCCTTCCAATGACTTGACCCCGACAGCGGACATAATATGTTTCGCCTGATATCGGCCAAAAGGAAGCCAACGAGTCCATGGAAATGTGGGTATATAGGTAACCATCCATGGTAAAATCCACAGTAGGCTTTCCGAGGACAAACCCATCCATGGTTACCAACCTTCTTTTTTTTAGGTACCCCCCACTCCAAATACCCGTTTTTTTCAGGGTATCATGTCGACTCTCTACTAAAAAAGGACATATTTACCTTTCAAAAACCAGTTTTTCCCAAAAATACCCTAGAAAAAGCGGGTATTTGGAGTAGGGGGTAGGTATATAGGTAACCATCCATGGTAAAATCCACTCTAGTAGGCTTGCCGAGGACAAGCCCATCCATGTTTACTTTTTTTTTAGGTAAGGAAGCCTGGTGACATAGTAACTGGAAGCTCTGGGACTCGCACTATGATCGTCGCTTCTGGGGCGTTGTCATTTTATTTGTACAGAACTTGCGTTTGGATCGTCAGGCCAATCCACTCGAGAAGTGAGGGATTTCAGGTCTCCCTTTGGTTTCGAGCCCGGGGGTAAATGGGAAACTGCCCTGAACCAGCAAAACCACTGGGCTCCAAACCATCAAGTAGAGGGCGGATAAGAATTGTGAGTCATATTTCGTGAGAAATATTTCAGGGTGTTTGGCCCAGAAGCAAGGCATCTCTGCAGAGGAGTCTTGCCCTAAGCCCGGTCTTTGAGGGTAATCCACCCCCCAATGTGTTTGTGGGTTCAAAGGAACACGGAAACGACAACCACCAATCGGAGGTCCGAATCCTAAAGAAGAAGGCACCCATACCCCTTACTCCAAATACCCGCTTTTTTTCAGGATTTGTTTGAATAACCTGGTTTTCCGCGGTAAATACCTCCTTTTTCAGTAGAGGGTCCACATGATACCCTAGAAAAACAGGGTATTTGGAGTAGGGGGCACAGCCCACGCATGTTTCTTTCTTTGACTTCTTTGCCGAGCAGGCATTGGTGGTTGGGGTCGGCAAGTAGACTCGAAGTTTGGCACTGGCGCGGCGCCGGATCGAGTTCAGACCGGTTT